ATATGTTATTCATTATAAAATAAATAGAGTAAAACTAGCATTAAATGTATTTACCAATTACAGAAATTCAACTGTATTTAAATATATTAAGATCTATATAAAATTATGGTTTGGTGAGGAAATCTGTATTTTGTATTAATTTGAAATATTTCCACTTGGCGCTGCTTACGCTCTCGTGGCATCTTTACTGCCTAGGAGTTGTCTGTATTCTTGATTTTAAATGAGTTATTGCCTTTTTAGAAGTGTTCATCGCGTGGTTTACGTGTTGTAAAAACTGAATCAGTGATAATGGGTGGTGAAGAAGGTCTAGGAGTGACTACGGGTCAACCAAACCTTTATAAACAGGATCTTTCGAAGCTAGTGAGTAATAAGTACGCCGATGTGCCGTCATAATGTGACAAGCTTTTGTGAAGTTTCATATAACCTCAATTCATGCTGTTAGCATACTGTAATACTTCCCGCTTATGTTAAGTTGAATGAAAATTTTTACCAATAAACTTTTTGTTTCAACAATAGTTAATGACATCTGTATTCGACTCATGTTACTTTGTCACATAAGTTTATATATCTTTATTTATTACTGAATTATGTTCTGATATTCATATCAATAAAGTTAATATACACAACTTTGTTACTTATATATCTTTATTTTGTAAAAATTGATGTTTGTATTGTATGTTAGTTTTCATTTGGTTGATGCCCTTTTATGTATAGAATATACATAGAATATTTACAATTTTATATAAACACATTTTTGTAAGTTTATTTAATGTTAAATTGTAATAATGTTTAAAATCAGAAATCAATGATGAATCAAAATAATCAGTGTTCAAACTTCTGTTTAAGCAGTTTTAAGGAGAAATATACATACATTAATAATTGATATAAAATGCCTTATAATATTTTTTATTTTCAATTTTCAATTCCCTTTTAAATAAATGTTTACATTACAAATACCTTATTACCTTAAAATTTAAGTTTATGAAACTCTTATTACTTAGGATGTTAGCAAATTAACTGCATTATCCCGTGAGGTCATCAGTAGACAAGCAACAATTAATATTGGTAAATATAATTTGTTTTTTCTTTTTAGGATATAAAAAATATGTTAGATGATATAAATATTAATGTATATATAAAATTTTGTACAGGTACCATTGGTCATGTAGCACATGGAAAGTCTACAATTGTAAAAGCCATATCAGGAGTACAGACTGTTCGCTTTAAAAATGAATTAGAAAGGAATATTACCATTAAGCTTGGTAAGCGAATTACTCTTTAACAACTTATCATTCACAATACTCTTTAAAAATTTATTAAGTTGATTGTTTTCAATTTGCATGCAACTATAACTATATAAGAGTAGAACTATTTTAAAAAATGTTCTTTTAGAACATTTTCTTAGAAACAAAGAATTAATCAATATTTTAGCATATAATTGTTATGATTATGTTAATATTGCAACAAGCTTTATTTTATATTGTTTTATGTATTCAATGATGTTATACTTTTACTACATTTTTGAAGAAGAAATTTAAAAAATTGTGTTTATCATCTGCTACATAGATGGCGCTAGACGCAAAAAATTGTCGCCATTTTATGAAAGACTCATTTCGGAATCGCGCTATCGAAAATTAGTTTGCAACTAATGTATTGGAAACTTTTTAGCTGTTTATTCGTTATAGTATGTATTAATTTAGTATGTTCACTATGTTTCTTTAATTTAAAGTAACAATAATAGTGTAGTTCTGTTATTTTTTTAAATTATTCCGTTATTTAAATTGATGCAATACGTAATTATTTAAACGGTTCAAAGCATTGTGTATCCTAGTAATAATTTTAAAGTACACAATAGTTGTTACATATTAATACATAAAAAGATTATTTCATTCTTAATGTGACGTTAAATCTGTCAAATCTTGGTTAAAGTGAGGTTAAATTCATGGAATAATAATGCATACTAAAATATTAATATAATTATCAGTGCTTATTTTACAGTAAAGGTTTTATGTTTAATTTCATGTATAAGTGATTTTTATGCATCTATAATTCACGATCTTACTTCATTATTATAATAAATTTAATATGCATCAATTGATATATCTCAAACATTTTAAGATAAGTAGTTACATAAAATTGAAAGATTAAAATAATTTTGATTAAAGCATACCTTAATAAGCTGGTTCATAATGTTATAAATGTAGTGGAAACAGAGATTGTTATTAATGTGATTTAACTTCAAATATGAAAAGTATGAAATAAGTAATAGTGTATGCAAATATATTTTTCACATAAAATAATGTAAAATATCATTTTAAATGTATATTTTGTTTATTGAAATCTTAAAGATGATACATCATTTCAATGTATTGAATAATATTAAAACAAAATATGTAATATTTTAGTCTTCACCCAAATAAAAATAAGAAAATGAAAAGAAGCCACAGATTGTCATACATAATAAGAAAAAGTTTCCTAATAATATTGAGGTAAATAAGAAACAAAACAAAGTTTATAATTATAGTGCGCTATGTTAGTATAACAATATTTATCAAAAAATTGTATAAAAAGTTAAATACATAGAAACAATGATGTAATTAAAGATATAAAAATTTAAGCTAAAATGTAAAAGTTCTGCTATATGCAAGTATAAAATTAGCATTAAGGTGTGCTTTAATCAATCAGTTTAAATGAATCTCTAAGGTTCAACCAATGTTATTTCATTCATTCTATATTGTATGGACTAAATATGAACTTAATTCTGAACTAAATATTTATTGAAAATTTGAAGCAGTAATCTATAACTTTGTAGAACATATTTTTGTATATGTGTGGCACCTTTCTTTGCACAAACATACTATGAATCATATCAATTTTCTTATAATAGCACTAAACATCTTGCTTAATAAATGAAAGTGAAGAATGAAGAGGATTCGAGGGATTCTCAATGTACAAGGTTGTGCATTAATGCTAAAAGAAAGGGGAGGAATGATAATACAAGTTAAACGAAATATGGAAAAATGTGACTGAAGAGAATGACATCCTTTAAATGTTTGGCATTACAGACACTCGTGCAGAGGACAGTACCAGAGGGGAACAAGAAGAAAATCTTGGCAACATGAACGAAATGTCTTCTACACAAGAAAAAAGACCAGCCTCTCCAGGATATGTTCATCCATCTGCCAAACATCGGAAACTCAATGAGAAATTTGTTTTCTCTGAAGGAGATAGTTATAATGATGCTGAATCAACACGCACCAACTCAAGCAATTCTGACTTATTAAATACAAATAATGTTCACAATAGAATTAGCAGAAGAAGAAGAAGAAGTTTGTATCATTCCAAAAGTCAAAAGTGTAGCATAGAAAATATAAGACTGAACAAATCAGATAATAATGCTGATATTGAACAGTATCAAATAAAGTACAATTTAGGAAATATTAAATTGAAGGAGCTTAGAGTTATATTGAAGGATATAAAATATGATAATAAACGAGGCATGGAAACATTACTGTCAGGGTCTAATTTTTGGGAAGTAGAAAAGATTCTTGCAAAGAAAGAGGAAAAAGATGTGCCATTATATTTAATTAAATGGAAGAACTGGGATTCACAGTATAATACCTGGGAACCAGTATCAAATTTAACAAATTGTCCGGATATATTAGAAAAATTTGAGACGGATAGATTAAAGTTACTCGATGCTTTTAAGAAGAAAATAAATTTTTATCCGAACAATCGGGATATCGAAGAGTACTTTAATCAAATTAAGTATAATGGAGAAACACTACAGTCAATCTCAACAGAAACAAATACAGTGTTTGCTCGCATACGAAGCTTCATGAAGCAAAAGCATGTTAAAAATAGTAAATCTGAGAGGGCTGTTAAATATGATCTTCTTCATATGTTGCTTATTGTTTCAAGAGAGAAACAGTTAAAATCTTTGAAAGACTGGGAAAATGAAATGAATACTATCACCAAAGGTAAACCATTAATACTAGTGGAGAATATGGTAGACTTGGAGGGAGCACCTCAGGACTTTTACTATATAGAAGAGTACTTACCCGGTAATGGGGTTATAATACCTAATGATCCACCTATTGGTTGTGAATGCAATACTTGTAATTCTAAGACAGAATGTTGCTTCAGTCAGGACAGTAGAAATTGTCCATATACTACGGGATGTAAGATTCGAGTACCGCCTGGAACACCAATATATGAATGCAATAAACGGTGTACTTGCGATATGGACTGCATTAATCGAGTGGTGCAACGTGGTAGCGACATGAAACTCTGCATTTTCAGAACTGCCAATGGACGAGGTTGGGGTGTGAAGACCTTACAACCGATTAAAAAAGGGATTTTTGTCACAGAATATGTCGGTGAAGTAATCACAAATGAGGAAGCTGACCAACGTGGTAAAGAATACGATGCCGCTGGTAGAACGTATCTCTTTGATCTTGATTATAACGAGACTGAAGAAGCGTGTCCCTACACTGTCGATGCTGCCGTGTATGGTAACATTTCACATTTCATTAATCACTCTTGTGATCCAAATCTGGCAGTCTATGGTGTTTGGATCAATTGTCTTGATCCTAATCTTCCCAAGCTTGCTTTGTTTGCAACGAGAGACATTAAAAGAAATGAGGAAATCACCTTCGATTACATGTATCAATCCTCGAAAAATAGCGAGAATTCTATAAAGCAAGATGTATCTTTGAAAAAGCATGTAAATACTTACGTTAACACAGATTTTGAAAAGGAGTTTGAATTACGTCCAGAGACGCCTGAATCTGACTTGTCGAATAATAAAACTTTGTGCAAATGCGGTGCCCAAAATTGTAGACGATATTTGTTTTAATATTGTTTAGTCACAAGTTCATCTTGTTAGTATTTAAACAAAGTTGTGTAAACATTCAGTGTTATTTGTTTCGATGATGATACGAGAGGTTACCTATAAAGGGTTAAGCAGTATATTACCAGAATGGAATTGAACAGTAATAGCTTTCGTGTATATAACTGCTTCTTCATTCATTCTGTGATCAAACAGCAGATTGTACAATTACGAAATGCAAGCAAATTAAGATATTTAAAAAATTTCTAATCGAAATAATTTTTTTTATAATTCAATATGTATTTGTTTGAAACAATTATAGATAATTTATACTACATGTTTATGGTATATGTTTCACGGTTAATATATTCTTTTTTTTTTTTAATTGTTCAATCAAAAATGACACGCTTTATGGTCGAATATAGTTGACGTATATTTAACACCGCGATATGTTCACTCGCTTCATCGTAAAATGTTTTACAGCTGAATGTGTTCACATAGGAAAATTCTACTGTTTATGTTGATGAATAATTATGTAGTGATGGCTTAAAGACAAACAATTATTTTTGTTAAATGTATGTAATGTTACCAATTAGAGCAACTTGAAGTGGCATAGCAACGAATTACATTTGTATGTTCATGTTTATACCATTTTTTAGATACTTAGGCATAGAACTTTTAAAAGTTCTTTGTTAATATCATCATCATTATCATCATTGTTATTATTATTATTTTTATTATTACCAATGGTCGTAATTATTATCATTATAATTATTCTTTTCTATCAATCTTTCTGTCAAAAGTTTATTTGTCACATACTTTGTACTTGGTTTATAGTATTTCCATAAAATGCACGTAGTGAATATGTTTAGCATTCATATTGTTTCTGTGAAACTAATATCATTTTGTTACATATTACATTTCATATTTTTAGTTCATATAATTTCGTACGATTGCATTATAAAGTGTTCGTGGCAAATAAATTTTAGGCAAAATGTGTTAGAACATTGTGTGGATATTTTAATTAATATTACTAAGAACACTTTTGAAATCATTTTAATATTAATAAAATTCCAATGTTTCACATTAGCATCTAAATATGTACACAAATCTCCACGCAATACAATGCTAAACAACACATCATTCATACATGTAAAAACTATGGATGTCAAACATATTAACGACACAAATATTAATTTTTTAATAAATGACTTAAATTTAAAAAAAAATGTTTAAAAAGTGACCCTTAAAAATTATATATTTTTCTACGAGTAATAAGTAGATGTATTGTACTATAAATTCAACAGTATTTCACATTATGAAAAAAGTTCAGTAAATGTCGTTGAATTACTTATGTGTATATGTAGAATAAACATGTGTTCTTTTTGCACATAAGCAATGCATAAACAAATAAATGTATATTATTATACCAGCAGCTGATGTATTCTTTTATATTGTATAAATAGTACTTTAAGTTTCATCTAGTCATTGACAAAGGAAAGGATTTGTTAGAATGAAATTGGGGAAAATAACATCATGAATATTTTTGAATTGGTTCGTTTCAGGATACGCGAACGCAAAGATATATAAATGTGATAACGAGAAATGTCCAAGACCAGGATGTTACATATCCGGAGGATCGAGTAAAGACGATTCGTTTCCTTGTTTACGTCCAGTTTGCCCAGGACGATTTCAACTTGTACGTCATGTGTCCTTTGTCGATTGTCCAGGACACGATATTCTCATGGCAACTATGCTGAACGGTGCAGCTGTCATGGACGCAGCTTTACTTTTAATTGGTACATAGTTAAGATACTCCTCTTAATGTCTTGCTTCTTGTACCGGTACATTTCAAGTTATAAATTAAATAAGAATAATTTTTATTATATGAAGAAAATGAAGATACATATTGCAAGGATATTACTAGTTATATTATCAAATTGGGGATGACAATTTTTTGTGATGCTAAATTCCGTTTATAGCTGGCAATGAATCGTGTCCTCAGCCTCAAACATCAGAACACTTGGCTGCCATTGAAATTATGAAACTGAAGCATATTGTAATTTTACAAAATAAAATAGATCTGGTGAAAGAAGCTCAAGCAAAGGAGCAATATGAACAAATATTGAAATTTGTACAAGGTACTTTTTAATCTTAATAATAATTTTATGAATTATATTTTCCATTATGCGTGTTCTTTCTTTAATTAGGTACAGTAGCTGAAGGAGCTCCTGTAATACCAATTTCTGCACAATTGAAGTATAACATCGAAGTTTTATGCGAGTATATTACAAAGAAAATTCCGGTACCTTTAAGAGATTTTACTTCGGAACCGAGGTTAATTGTAATTCGATCGTTTGACGTGAATAAGCCTGGTTGTGAAGTAGATGATCTGAAAGGAGGTGTTGCCGGAGGAAGTATTTTAAGAGGAGTATTAAAAGTACATTGAAAATATGATTTTGTAGTTATTTTTGTTATGTAGACATTATTTAACATATGCATTATTTCTTAGGTGGGTATGGAAATTGAAGTTCGTCCTGGTTTGGTATCTAAAGACAGTGAAGGAAAATTGACTTGTCGACCTATATTCTCACGGATAGTATCGTTATTTGCTGAACAAAATGAACTTCAGTTTGCTGTTCCTGGTGGTCTTATTGGTAAGATTAAATTGTATACAAGAATGCATATAAAGAAAAATAGTTATAAAAATAAAAAGAATATGGTAATATTTGACAAAAATAAATTTTAAGGTGTTGGAACAAAGATTGAACCAACATTATGCCGAGCGGATCGTTTAGTGGGTCAAATTTTGGGAGCTGTAGGAGCTCTACCAAAAATATTTATTGAACTTGAAATATCGTATTATCTCCTTAAACGATTATTAGGAGTGAGAACAGAGGGTGATAAGAAAGGAGCGAGGGTAAATATATTATATGAAAATGTTATGGTAAAATATATTTTTCTGTTATAATTATGAAATATTGTGTAATAATAGGTACCAAAATTAACAAGAAACGAAGTGTTATTAGTAAATATTGGATCATTAAGTACTGGAGGTCGTGTATTAGCTACTCGTGCCGATTTAGCTAAAATCAGTTTGACGAATCCCGTATGTACAGAAATTGAAGAGAAGATTGCGTTATCGCGTCGTATTGAGAAACACTGGCGTTTGATCGGTTGGGGTCAGATTTGCGGTGGACAAACTATAGAACCAGTCATAGACCGAAAGTGATTTCACAAATATTACGGAAATACGAAATTTTAATATAAGAAACAAATTGAAAATAATTTCTACAACACGAAACGTTGCTTGAAATGTTTATAATAAAGTATGAAATACACATCACTTGTGTATACTATTTAATATACCTTTCCTAAAATTCTTACACCATTTTTTTTTCTTTTATACAAAAATAAATGGAAAAAATTAAATATCATTATTCAATTAAATATTGCATATGGAAATATTTTATTTTAATTATGCTAAATTAGGTATAGATATAAATCCTGGTTGAATATATGAAATTGACATTGAAACACATGCCAATAATATTGGCGAATTGTCTGCATCCTGCAGCAAACGGTGCAATTCAATTGGTTGTATAAATGTATCATCTTGTCTGAAATAATAGATGAAAGAATCTCTCAAGAATCATCATTAAACTGTATACAAGAAATATGATTAACAAAAACTAATTACCTTACTACGACTACTCGGTAAAATGGAAGACCAGGATTTGCTTTCCTATAATTTTGTGTATTGGAATAAATATTGTACGATATTTTGTATTTATTTTTTTTTCTTCTTACAATTTTCTCAGGTGCAGATTTAATTATTTTAAGCTTACTAAAAACTTCCTCAAGACTATTTGCATTCTTTGGCCCGATAAGAGGACTCCGTAATTGTCTAACTACTTGAACTTCATTAGAGTCTTCAATCTCCTCTTTTTCTGTATCTTCATCATCGATAGTGATTGTTTTTTCTTCGCGCCATTTAGTCTTTAATTCTACCCATGATGATGCTCCTGGTAATACTTTAAATGAAGATTGATATACTTCATCGTTATGATTTGGTAATATATTTGTAATTCTATGGTGATTTCGTGGCCAATACCTTGGGCGAGGATCTGGGAGTAACACGTTTCTAGCTACACTACAATGTATCGATGTATTTTCTATTATTCTGTGATGATATAATTTTCGTACTGATAAGGAATTCTGATGAAAATTATGATAAACTTGGTTTCGAGTAAAACAATGCCTGATTGTGTTATTACTTATATTTGGTACTGATAAATTGTTTGTTTGTACTGACATGAATCTGTTTTGGTGAGCAGCAGTACTATGATTACCAACACCAACAAATATATTTTGAAACATAGTATTTCTATGGTGCCAGTATAGATTTTGACTATATGTATATGGCAACCTATTATTATATACATAATTAGGACCAAAATTTGCATGTTGTCCATGCTGCATGGGAAAATAATCTTGCATGAGAGCATTGTGCACATTCGTTGCTGAAGTTTGATTCAACGGAACAATATTTGTATTTCTTCTAGTATTGTTACCCGTAATAGTATTATTACACTGACTTTGATTCGAATTATTATTTGAATGTTCTAAATTTTGACCCGATCGTAATCTTTTATCTGCTTGTTGTAAATTTCTTAATTTTACACTTTCATAATGGTAAATAGTTTTATGAGGCTTTATACTATGTGGTATGTGCCCTCTTGAAATGTTTATTGTAATTGTGGATTGAAATGCAATATTTGGAATTAAGTTTAGTAAATCCAACCGTGACATTGGTTTCGGTACCTCTTGAATTTCATCATCCGAAAGTTCTATGACCTAATGAAAGAAAAATTATAAAAATTTTCTTGATATTAATATTTCAATATTGTAAATATAACTATTGCAACTATTATTATACTGTACCTCATGTTTTGATTTCTTAACTTGTAAATTTTCTTTAAGTGGTAAAGAAGATTTATGTTTTCTTGAAGAAGATTCAGAATTTTTAATGCTAGAATCCAAACTTTCAGTAGGTGATGATATTTTATCTGTCCTTTTAGGCAATAATTTAACATTTCGTTGTATGCGCGATGCTCGCCAATTTGCTGATGTATTATTTCCTTTGGTAGAATCATTTATATGGTCTGTGACAATTTTAATAGTACCTAATAGAGTTTCTTCTGATATAATTTCTACTCCAGAATTTCGTTTCTTTTTATTTTCATTTGCATTCATAGTTTGCAAATTGATATCTGATTCTTTTTTATTTTCCATATTGTCTTTACATTCAGTATTTTTAGATTGAGCTTCAATATTTTCTACTGCACAGAGAAGATCATCTACAACTTTATTTACATCTTTTGGTATATCTTTGTGTTCTGTCACGTCATGACAAATTTCTATGGGAGAATTACTAATATCTCTATCAATTCTTTCTGAAGGACTATCAGATTTTTTACCATGTGCATTTTTACAATCATTATTTTGTTGTTGCATATCAGTCATCCAAAGACCATTTTCAGGCTCAACAATAACTTTACGTTTTATGTTACTACTTTCATCACCTTTTGTGCTTCTTTCGGTATTGTAAATAAAACGCTGTATACGATAACCATACCGTACTAATTGGCTGTAGACCCTATATTCCTCTAATGTACATTCAACATTATCAATTAAAAGTTCATAAGCTTGCTGGATAGACAATGGTACATCATTCCATGTAAGTTCCAAACAATTCTAAAACAAAGTAATGTTTTACTTATTCTCTACTGTTTTAGAAAACAATTTCTTTAAATATGTTTTTGTCATGTGATAACATACAGCTTCTAGAAGAAACAATGCTTCTTCTGGTATTAAATACAAGGCACCATCTTTTTCCAAACCAAAACTACTCCAATCTTGACCAGAGTATTTTTTTACTTTAGCCCTTTTCTGTGCAGGCAACCATTCTGCACTAGCTAATTGAGATATTCGATCTACTCTTTCTATGGCTATTAGATTTTTCCTAGTCATAATACCTTTCTCAATTTGCATATTTTGTAACCAAGAATTATTTGGTTCAAACTGTTTCATTCCAGTCTTTGGAAGAGTTTTAGCTGATGTTTCATATTCATCCCAAGCATTATATTTCAAACCTTTGTTTTCTAATAATTCTTCTGCCCTAGAAAATATCAATTTTTTAAAAATTTTGTACTAGTTTTCCATAAATGACAGTAGTTACATATCAAATATTCATATTTTTAAAGAAACTTACGTTAACATATTACTGGGAAGTTTTTCAGTTTCCTCTGCCATGTTTTTGCTTTGTTTCTGCATACTTTTAAACTATATTTTGATCTAATTATCCATTTTATGGGTAAAATCTATTATAGTTCATTACCTGTAATGTTAGAAATATATTAAAATACTTGTAAACATTTTTAAGCTTATGTGCATAATTTCAAATGCAACAAATATAAAATTTTACAAGCAATACAAACATTATTATTTAATATTGATTATCATTGTAAATTTTAGCTGTACTTTAGACTTAGAAGTAAAAAAGTGTACAACGAAACTTAAAATATGCCGGTAAGAAACATTAAATAAAAACAAATAGCCATATAAAAAGTTAAGTTCGTACGTTCGTATGGTACTAAATGAAAATATGTACATACATTGTTAGAATAATTTTTTAATCACATTTCATTTGTTCTCTTATAAAGTATTTGTGTGAGGTTAAAAACAGATACATATATACATACATACGTGCTGACATGTAGCAAGTAAATAAAAAACCTGTCTCTCATGTTACGAGACGAGTATATCATTGTGTCATCGTTATTACGAAATCATTTAAATTTTAGTTTCATTATTTTTTATCCATTAATCTGTTCGTCTTCATTTTTCTTTAAATACGGAATTAGGTTTGAATTACATAGCTAGTTTACGTTCATTACGCCTTTTAAGGCATAGTTATCTTACTTTTAATCCTCTCTTACTATTGGGTAAACGTAGGTGATTGAATGGAACTATCCAATTAACATACAGCATCTGAGAGTTACATTTGGAAATAAAAAGTTTTTATATATTATAGTGTAGCAATCAATTTTAAGTGATATACAAACTATAATTGCTGCATATAACAGAACTGAAACGTCAATAGTTTGAAGCAATGCAGAGTATATTCTTGTGGAATTGCATAAATTGCATTTTTGCGCACTATCGATGGTAAGTGTAGTCAATTCACATGGTTCGCCCACTCGTTGTTAATGTGATAATGTGAGAGTAAATAATCGTGCGAATATGTACATAAAAATGTGTTTATATTAGTTATCAAGTTGAGACAAGATACTCTGACACGTACAAATGATTGTAATTCATTACACGATCTTTTTGGGCGTTACAAAACAGTGCCTTATCATGCGACGTAAGAAGCATTGATATCTTCAATTATGATCGTGTTATCGTGCTATTTTTCCGGATTTCATTGGTGACTAACTGTCAACTGTCAGTTCTAAATCGCATAAAGATATTTTTTTGTTTATTTCTCTTTAATATTGCGTTAGAACACTTGATTATTATTGTTTCCTTTAACAAAATGGGAATTAATTATTATATTCATAGTTAAGTAAAGTAAAATTATATTAATATTAAATAGTTCGGACTGAATTTATTTACTGTGTACATTTAAAACCAAAGAATGATTAAACATATTCAGTGCAATAAATAAAATTTTGTTTATAAAAATGTTGATTAATTTTGTAAAAAACATATATTTGATACATATATTATTACTTTAGACAATTAGAAAGATGCTATGGCGTCCTCAGGATCACATAATGGGGATGCAGATACCGAAAGTGAAAAGTTTGAAGGTTCAAGAATTGATCGACATGGTTTCCTTCAAGATTCCAATTGTAGCTCTGACAGGTAATAATTTCATGTATTAATATTTATGTGAAATAGCCTTGGCAAACAAGGAATACCACCAGAGGTAATGCTACGAAGGGAGCGGAAATGGATACAGATGTTAAACAATTGGAGCTATTTTATGAATACTAATTATCGTAAAGTCAGGGAAAGATGTCGAAAAGGCATTCCACCTTCTGTAAGGCTTCGAGCATGGTTAAATCTATGTGGAGGACAATTATTAATGGACACAAATCCAAATTTATTTGAAGAGTTGGTAGAAAGATCTGGTGATCCAAAGTATATAGATGATATTAAAAAGGACCTTCATCGGCAATTTCCTCACCATATAATGTTTATTGGGGAAGCCCCTGGACAGGAAGAACTATTTAAAGTATTGAAGGCATACTCTATTTTAAATAGTAAAGTTGGTTATTGTCAAGCTCAAGCACCTATTGCAGCATTTTTGCTGATGCACATGCCAGCAGTACAAGCATTTTGGTGCCTTGTTGCAATATGTGACAAATATCTGATTGGTTATTATAGTCAAGGAATGGAAACATTATTACGTGATGGGGATATTCTGTTTGCTCTTCTCAAAAGAGTATCTCCTGTTGCTTACAAACATCTGGTTGGTCTTAGTTTATTTTTTCATATGCATTTGGCAATGAAAATAGGTGCATCTATTCTCATTAATTTTTTTTTTAGAAAAAACAAAAAATGGAACCAATTTTATATATGACTGAATGGTTCTTGTGTGTTTATACGCGAACACTGCCATGGGAAAGTATTCTACGAGTGTGGGATATGTTTCTTTGTGAAGGTGTCAAAATTATCTTTAAAGTTGGGCTAGTTTTATTAAAAGGTAGCTTGGGTCGCACATCTCTTATTAAACGTTGTCCAACAGTTTATGAAACGCTTCAAGTATTAAGAAATCCTCCACAACACATTATGGAAGAAGAAACTTTAGTTTATCAGGTAGAATATTTCACCGTCAAGTTGAACATTACACGTCTCATTAAATAAACACAATATTGTAGATCCGAAAATTGAATTTAACGGAAGAAGATTTTGAATATGAGCACCAACGTCAAGTATTAAAACGGAAAGCAGCCGAGCAAGCATCTCTTTCCACTGCCAATCGGACAGACTGATGAAAAAAAAAAAAAATAAAAAAATAGATAGCATGTAAAACGAGTAATGAGCTTACAGGTATTACTCCAAAGTGTGCCTTCCTTTATATTCTTCATATTGTACAGATTGTAAGATTTATATAGCTCTACTTTTACAAAGCATAGAAGTACATATAGTGACGTTTAAAAGGTACCTAACTTCTTTATTACAAATCTAGGTATATCTTGAATGTAATCACACGCGCATACATTCCCAAAAATAGATCACATAAAGTAACTTATCCGTATTTTCTCTACCATATTAGGATTATGAGGATGCACAATACTTGTAGATGTTCATAGTACCGTTTGATGTTGTATTATTTCGAGCATATCTCTAGTTATATAACTTCATACAATTTTATTGAATATTTATGTACAAAAAAAAAGGATTGTAAAAGATTACATTTTTTAAGAATAAAGTTTAGAATATTATATAATGTTATCGAATAAGAATTGTTTTGTTTAGCTCAATGTTGTTTTTGTTAAAAAATTTATCTAACTCATGACAAATGATGTAATTAAATACATGTTACGAATATATTTTGTCAGTTCATTTACTCTTCATTATTCGCCTTCTATGATCGTTTTCTTTATTATCACCACGTTACATTGTAAAATTTACCTAGCCATATGTGTGTTAAACTACCTGACAGAATCCACGGGATAATCCTTAAATTTCTCTATAATGTTATAACGTTCGATGGCGTTTGTAACGATGTTTGATATATAAAAGAAATCATCTTGAATGCTTCGCGCGTGCAGTATATCGAGTTGAGTGAGCTTTGGCAAGAATAGAACACTCATCATGAATACGATCGCCATGGTGACGAAAGTGCTTATGGCTACAAAGAGAGGATTCGATAACTGTGTTTGCGTAGTTTGTGCAGCTCCCGTATTGTCAAATGCAGGTGCGGGCTATAAAGAACGACAAAAATGTGATATTGAGAAAATTAAAACAGTAATAACATATATATTTTTCATTTAAATTAGATGAATTTTTTCACGTCCAAAATTGAAACGTTTGAAAAATAAACGAAGGGCGTTTACTTACAATTGTTTTATAACCGTGATTTTTCTTAAACTCTGACATGAAGGTTTTTAGCGGGAAAAAGTAATATTGATAGAGAGGCTGCTTAACCGGAAACTCCACGTGAGTCTGCGTAACCTGTGGCAGTTCACCGGAAGAGAGTGCATTTGTTAAAGAGGATAAACTCATCGTCGATCCTTTTTCTAATGCACTTTTATACATAGCCGCCAGTTCTGGCCGTGTAAATCCAAGTATTTCCGGTTCCCGTACTTTAGTGACAGCAGGAACATGAGGCTGAAAAATTAATTCAATGATTATAATATTTTATATCACTTTTTTTCTTTTTAAATAAAAAGAAATTTAATTTCACCTGATAATAGTGGGAAAAATTGTCAAAATCGGTTGAGTGTAGATCAAGCTTCTTGTTAGGTAAAACGTTGTAATGCTGAAAGCTCTGGTTCTGATATTTTTGCGCGTTCTGTCGCGTGTTCATACTGATCCTCTGTACCCCATAATTCTGTCGATATTTATTCGCGTGAGCGACATTTTTATAATCCTTATTCGACGACAATCGGTCATATGAATTGATAGGGGGAGGTACATTGAATTCTTGAAGCTGGAACATCACCTTCTGAAGATACTCTCCGCTCGATTCACCGTTCGTTTTTACATATCCAATAGGATTGAAAAATACGAAAGCGAGATAAATGAATATCATTTTCTCTTTCGTAATCATCATGTAGAATTCCTGATTTTTCTTTCTTTATCCAATGAGAAACTTTTCTTCCTGGTAATAATTTCCCTGCATCTTCATTGCGGTGTACTTTCAAATGGCAGTGAAATTGAAATATACATGAATGTGCATTTTTACCGTTACAACATTCGTTTTACGATTTATAACGATGTTACACTTGTTGCTGTTGCAATCTTAATTTTCTGCTCGAAGAATTATATCGTGTATCGTTGTACCTTATTACAATTCTTCCACCAGCAATTAAGAACCGGCGACGCGTTGCTCTCTCTCTTTTTTTCCATCGAATTAACGATGGCACAATGATTTATTCCTCGTTTAATCCTTTTTGCTCTCTACTTGCTTGTAATACAAATTAGTGCGTCATACATGTGAACACTTGCGGCCAGCATGTTCGCAATTGTACTAACAGGGATGGACTGCACGAGTATCCACGGCTAACGCGTTCCCCACCAAGTATTCAAGGAATTCTCTTGCTTGTATGTTCGTGCAAGGACATTCATTTAAGAAATTCACAAACTTGCTGTATGTTAAGTATACTTCCTAAGGATAATATTCTTTTTCTTTCCCACGAATTTCCTGCTTTCGTGGCATTGTCCCAGAAACGAAACTCTGTATCTCTGCAACTTTATTTTATATCATAAAATGTTTTTTAAAAAATATAATAAAAGGATACGATTTTATTACGAACCACCTGACGTTACTTTCATCGATAATTTCTTAATTATTACGGTGGACAATTTAAAAGTAAAAAAGAAAAAAATCTATTTCGATAGTTCCGTTACGAATCCGACTTTTTTCATCGGGGTAAATAATTCCATGGACACGCGATTGGAGAATATAACGGATGTTCTCGAAACGACGTCCATATTCAACAAACACCGGATAATCAAGTTTTCGGATACGTAACACTTTGGAGACTTGAACGCGTGGCTGCGCGACGGCTCGTTTCGTATTTCTATCGTACGCAAAAGTTGAACGTTACCGGCGATTATTACGCGATTCGTAAGAAAAATGGGAACAGTACAGTAAACCAGTCCAGCGAAAACACGCGGTGATATTAGATACAGCGAGGACTTCGAAACTTTTGCTTTTCGATGAAGATCGGTGGAATGACATTCGAAGTACCTAAATGAAGTTTAAACAAAGATGAATTATTAGGGGACAATTTCTTCGAGTATTGTTCATTTCGTACTAGAAACCTGATTTCCTTCTGTTCCGTCAACCACGTCGCATTGTTTCATTCCGCTGCTCCATTGTTTAAAGGAAGCTTGTCTGGTAAATGTAGATGTAAGCACGAATGTTACGCTTTTATCATTCTTCAGGCGCAGCAATGATGTCCAGCTTAATTACGAAGTAATTGCTACAACGGAAGTAATTTTGTACTTTGTAAAATTTTTCATTTTGCTATTTGATTTATTTTGTAGAAATCTAATTTATCAGTTTATTTTATCAAGTAATACCATAGTGTTTGTGTTGAATAATAATATTCATTCGTAAGGATTAATTGTTGTGCAAATGGCAGTATGTTCTCGGTGGACGATGGCATGCTCGAGGAATTGCGGTTCACTGAATGGATCTGCAAGGAGCCGTTAGTTGACAACCCGCGATTTCCTTTAATTATCTTCGTCCAATGAAATTACCCTGCCATTATTCCTCGTCCACATCACAATATCTGTCACGCTCACATTTTTCACGCTATTCTAGAGAACATGTGCATTTTACCATAAAACGTAACAATTTTTCATAATTTTATCGATAATTTTATTCATAACTTAAAGCCTCCTTAACGGTGCGTCGACCTGTAAAGACGAAAATGAGTAGTTCCACGACTAGGTTAATAAATAATTATCCAGTATAATGGACGGGTAACTAATATTTATTCGAACTATTAGAATATCTTGCTAATTTCTTAAACGATTCGTAAATCAATGTTAAGTAGGATTTTCTTTATGTAAAAATATTGGTCAAAAGAGATATAGCTTCTAAAGTACGTTAGGCGAACATTAAAAGAATGTACCGTAACCTTTCGTGCTTGGATATGATAATAAAGGGGAGAGGGGGGAGAAAACTAAAATTGCTTGTATGGCTCGTTATTGTGTCGTGTATTTCCTTTCACATCGAGTGCACCGTTACCGATATCGCTTTACAATTTTTTTTCTTTTCATACAAAAAGATGATTCGATGATCAGCGCCGCTATATCATTTTTTGTCATTCGTCAATCGTCCTCAGGCAAGATCAACGAACGATCAATTGTCGTTACACGTATTTCATATATATAATATATATCTTTATCTTTAGCATAACCTCCCTTTCTTTTAAAGTGAATATCATACAAAATCTAAAGCTATACGTAATTTAAACTTTAATTCCTCATTATATACGAACATAACATAGTAATACAATACGCGGTGGCATTTCGTCTTTTATTCCCCCTCTTATACTGTTCAATTTACAAAAGAAAAGAAAAAAATTCTAACCTGTCGTGGGTCAACGAATTGGATTGGAGACGGCGGTGGTAGGCCCTCTGTTTTTAGAGCATTTTGCATTATTATCCTTTTTTTATTTTATTTTTCCTTTTTCGAAACATAGAAGGCGTGGAAACCGTTTTCAGATTTCACGTGTCCTAGACGGAATACCGATTATCGATTTCAATAATCGCCGCTTAATCGATTTGAACTTTGTCGCGCATATCGTTTTCCGGGTGTGTGTGCGCGCGCAGTTATTACAGTTACTATCGCATGCACCCATTTCCGGTCGATCAGCACCGTTCGACGTCGGACGTGACATTTAAAGGGTCGAGTATTATTGATCGTGATGTTCGACGAAAACTCAACCGGCAGTTAATTAAAAACATACCTTAAGAAGATACACTGTATATACAGAACAAAGAAAGAACACCGTTTATAACAGCATTAGTGCCTAAGACAATTTTAAAAGCGACGCCCGATAAAATCTACGGTCTTTCTCTCGGAATCACGGTGTACCGATTTTACCCGCGAAACACTACCCTTCGAAAACATCCTGTTCAGACATGTTGGCGCGCTAAATTCGAATCGCAGAGATTAGATATTAACAATTAATTTGTATCAGTTCCTTGAACATTGGTTTCTGAGCATTCTTTGTGCGATGGGTACGAAATTTCGTTAAAAATAGGCCGAGATACATTTTTTTCCCTCTTTCGTCTCTACACTTATCGTGTACGTTGAGTATTGTTACACGGAAGATGGGAAACACACCCTACAGATAGTGTTCGGTTCTACGTAATCGCTCATTCGAGACAAATCATTCGTAAAGGGGCGCACTTATAAAAATGTACATTACAGATTGCTCTAAGGAGAAATCGCTAATTGTGTAGATAAACGTAAATGTATACACGTTATAGAGAGTGTACTAAAAGTAAAATGACAATTCATAGCACAACTTTACACATACAGTACCAACGAAACTTACGTATTTTGTACAATGGCAGCATACGATATTTATAACGAATGTCGTAATGTATACTTATCGTCGATATATTCAGAACTTTCTATTTGATTCAATACAATCGTCGTAATAAATAAAAATTATAAGGTTCGATACAAGCTACGCGCTGAAAAGAGGCAAAAAAAGAAATTAGGTTAACAAGTCTATACAAAGGTATCACTAATAATTAGATTATGATAAAGTATTTTATTGCTATGCTTTACGGAATAAGCAACCTCGTTAAAAACTTGATGCAAATTCGCAACGATAATAGAATTAATTATAAAGAATACTTTTGGTAATACTTTTCTGTAGTATTCCTCTAGCGTAGTGCCGACTTCGTGACAAGGAAAAATAATTCGAAACGTAAAACGAGGTAACGTATACATAGGGTGACCTATTTCGATCCATAAACGGATGTTACTTTGAAAAGATCCATTAGCTCGATATGCTTCAGTTGAAATATCCCATATATTAAAAAATTTCAGACTCCTGATCGTCTGTCTTTTTGCTTCGAGTATTATACGGTTTAAAAAAAAAAAAAATCACTACATAACTCATAATGCTAGCAGCTATGTACAATAAAAGAGTAATACATCGTATCTCGATCGCTAATTGTAGAGTATCTTTCCATAAATTATTTTTTAATGCAAACAAATTAGACAAGATTCGACGCCTCATATTTCGACTGATGTTATCTATGTTCAATGATCATAAAAACTCAACCTTCTATTAGGTACGATCGATGCGTTGTTTCGTAACATCGAGTGTGTCCACGAAACATGCAATATTTCAATTGCCCGATTATTTTTACCTTAATATTTAGATGAGTCAGTAAAAAGTGTTTAAAAAATCCAAGTATATCCTTATCAAATGTAAATGTTCTCGGAAATTCATTGAGAAATTAGATAAAGGTAAATCGAAATTATAAGTTATAAAAGTACAAGATTGGTTCTATAAAAACTGGTCTCTATTGCCAGTTGTACAAAAAGGATCATGGTTCATCACATTTTAAACTCATCAGTCGCATAGAATATCACAGGAACGTTAGTAGGTGCCATTGAATTCATGTATATCAGACAGATAGTACATTGCTTGTGTACGCGTTAAGAGAATATATATAGAGAACAACGAGAAAAGAATCTTAAGATCATTTTGTTTCAATTTAGAGCTCAAAGTCTTTGTCATTAAGGCAATACTTTACATATACTGTACATTCAGAAAATTGCCTGAACATACTAAGCGATAGATATAAAGCACAATGAAAAATGAAGTATAAGCATATAAAATGCCCTTGACAATTGCCTTACTCTGTATTCTGTATCATTGCAAATTTCATTTTATTTATCAAAATTGTAAAAAAGTCTTTGCTGCAAGCACTTTGACTTCCAAGCAAAATAGAATACCATTTGAGTGATGCACTGGCACATACATTGAAGTTTGTTTTCTATTATGCTTAGCTGAAGTCTTTCTTTTCTTCTTTTCAAGTGCAATAAGTTTGTGCTGCTACAATTGACATTTGCATTAATCATCATATAATAAAGAAAAATAAAGAGAGAGAAAATTACAGATTTCTTTGTTGAATCAAAGGCATTTCTTTTAAAAGTGGTAAATTTCTTCTGTAAACAAATTTATTTCAATTTCAATGTCTTATAATTATTTGTCAAATGCAGCACAATCATATTCACAACATATACTTCACTGCTATGGCAATAGCACAATTTACAAAGTTCTATGCTAGCTCATTCAAATACTATTACTTAACACTGTTATCTCTCTTTCAGACATTAGGGCAAATTTAGCATGAATGGCATCTTTAACGTGTAGGTGATACATGCTTCGTCAATCACTTTTCTCTGGGCATAGAAGAGTATTTAGTACATATTCTACTTGAACTATTATCCACGAAAAAGACCGCCGTCTCCTATTCTATTTTTCACGTATCGCCTAATCATACAACAAACGTCACGCACACGTACTTATGGGGCACGCTACATAATTATTCGCACTACATGTTCCTAGCCAGTTACATAGAGCCATTTACCTCAAGATGAATTAAAGTTAATTTCAGCTTAAACAATCTCTTCAATTTCAATTGGATTTATTAAAAAAACCAAAAACAAGACTATTGTACCAATACAGCCTGATGTAATTAATAATGTGCATCATTGCTATGTTTCAGTTTTCAGAGGAAGTGGCAAACTGTGAAACCTGCCATTAACTTTAACTTATATCTGAGGTATCTTTACATTGTTATAATAGCATGCTTGTATTGTTTCAATGCAAACTTTACAAAATAAGAAGTTAAAATAGTGGAATATTCTTATTTTTTTTCTTTTTCATTGGACCATATCAAAATCTTTGTTATGATAAAAATAAAAAGTATAGATTAATTTACAACAATGCTTTTAATTCTTCTAATTCATACACTGGCTGTAAAAATGTCGATGTTTCTTTATACACATACTATGAGATGAAAATACGCAACAAGAACGGTATGTGTAATTAATTACAAAATTTTCATCCCAATTTTGCAATTGCACATTGTACTAAAATACCTGCAATAATTATATTTATCGTTCTATGATACGCATTTTCGCGTGGATGTAAAGTATGTTTCAGCTTCATACGGTAAAATGTTTAAAACGATCGTTAATTCTGCGCAGAATTCTTCTTAAATAATAT